TAATATACTCGTAAAACTGCTCTAAATTTTTAAAAGAAAAACCAGAGAAGTTTCTATATGTAAAGCAAGGAAGTCCCAGGCCTCTATAATTTATCCACATAGAAACGTGAGATTGTCATGGGATTAGAATGTAGATATTGTTGCATATGTTTCTCATTTTACTAATTAAAACACTATAATTTTTAAAATAGTTTTGTTTAAAACGGTATGTAATTAAGCCATAGACAACATCAGGTGATTACTCAAATTATACATGCTTCGTTAATTTCATAAGCAGATTTCCAGCAATAATTTAGCTTAATATTGGTTTTTGTTTTTCGTTTAACTTAAATGTCAGAAAGGAATTTAGATTGTTTGTGTGCCGGAAGAAATGATTCCTTTATATAAAGTCTAATTACAAGACAAAACATTTCAGTTGCTTTGGAAAATTAAATAGAGACAATGTTCCATCCCCAGTGTTATTTACAGACAATTTTGTTCTTTAGGTTGAAAATTGAACGTTTGCAAAATTTATCTCTATTTCTGAATGTTTTCGCTAAAATATCCTTTGATTGATTGATTATTCTCCCACTATCAATCATATTAAGTGTCTGCATAAAAGAAGACAAACACGTCTATGACACTAACTCCCTTCCTCGAAGAGTTTTATATGTATTAATAATTCCAAGTTTCATAACTACATGAATTATTTATTTTTTACCAGACAATAAATATTTTAATGCAAACGACAGCGGCAATATCATCTTCCTTTCTGCAAACCTCACAAAACAGAAAATAAATTTCTGCAGCAGAAACGTGAAATTTACTGCAAGTCTCACCGTGTGCACTTTAAACTTTTATACCTTCATTTCTGCTTTAAACTGGTTGTGCTAAATTAATTGAGAATATTAAGAAACAAGACGCAATAAACACAAGTCGTTTAAGCGTAAAGCTGTCATTTCCACAAAGCGTCACCGCAATTAAGAAGAGTTGATCACATTCGCTTAATTTTCCAAGCAAATAAGGGCGAGTCCTTGAAGAATTTTGAGTCAACAAAATTAGCATTGTTGAGATAGTTTACCTACCTTATGACAAAGTTTGGAATTTCTTGAATGCTGAAATTTCCAAATTCTAACAATGTTGTCAATCACACGTCTTTTAATAAATTTAATGCAGGTCCCCAACTTTGAAACTTCTTTCAAGTTCTGCTTTAATTAAAGTAAATACGCTCAACTGTACACAGGTCTCCGGAGCGCATTTTCTTCTTAACTCGCATTGTTTAAGAAAAACAACATAAATGTCTTATGATTTGCACCAGCCTAAATTAATCTAAGTGCGGAAAACAGTCCGGCCACACGCAAGTGTCACGTTTTGAACAAATCTCATTTTTTATTCGCACCCTCCGGTTTATACATATTAAAATATCGTTAACCGTACCTATTGCCGTGTCGACATTTCATTACTTCCACCCCTCTAGATGAGTTAATTTCATAAGTCAAATTGTGATGAACCATACCGACGACGTAAAGAGACAAGTGTGAGATTGACTTTTGATGGTTTTCGGAATTAATAATGAACACCGTGCAAAGTACTGGCACGGGAGGACATGGATGCAACAAAAAGGACCAAAGAAATGAGGTAAATTCTAGTTTGATATTAGTGGTGAAAAACTACAAGACTGGATAGTTTTCCTAGGAGCAAAGGATTTGTAATTCCTTGCCGGACGTTTAGAGCACGAAACCAATTAAAACGTTTCGTGTTCAATGTTCATATAAATTCAGCACCCAAAATGCCCGTTTCCCTTTCCTACTTAAAGATTTTATACAGTCTGCTAACTTGTCGAGAAACTTTCTAGCTGCTGAAAAATTCAAAGCTACTATTCATAATTTATAATTGTAGGAAATAAATCATAGTAGCTACAATCGACGAAATTTTTCTGCAGCAAAATTAAAATTCATACCTACGTTCTGTTATTACAGCAAATTTATATGTTTCTAAATAACGGCTGTCTAAATAATCTTTTTATGATTTTTGAAACGCGTTCCAATATTTCCCTTGTTTTAATGGAAACAAAAATAAAATAAATAAGTATACAATAAAATCTCGACATTCTCTGAATAAATTTTTTATGTAGCTTTCTGCTCCATGGATATACAGTGACAATTAAAATTACTTTGTAAATTACTTTTCAATTTCTGTTAATCGCCGAATTTCTCTTATTCCGTCCTTAGTAAGACTTTCATAAATCGTGTGCGGCTGACACATATCCTTACCAGTTACTTCACTTAGTCCTTTCTAATATACCCAAGACATTTTAAATTACACAATTTATTCGCGTCAGTTCCAATTCCTGAAGTTTGCATTCTAAGAAATGATTTAAACCTAAATTAATTGTTTTAAACTTTTTTTATTCACGTATCAACATGTATCATGCATATTCTTTGTTAAAACAATTTGTTACATAGAAATGTGTTATAAAACGAAAACAAACAAAATAGACTCTGAAATGACATTAAATGAAAATGCAAAAGTGAATAACAAATGTTTTCTAAAACACATGTTTCTAAAAATTCAATTCCAGTTCCATCAATTAATAACGTTAGTTATACTCACTTTTACATTTTTATATTCTGAATGTTTTATTTTTTATGTAATTTACTAATGTTAACCAATATTCATAATTAAAGTCTTTATTAACATATTTACATAAACTAATGAAACACCTTCCATTACTGTTTTGAACAGTAGCAATTAATTAAAAATATTTACTTTGTCGTTTATTAAACTTACAGAAATTTACACTTTTGCAATAGTGCATATTTTTCGCAAAAATCCTTGAAAATTTACCACTTTATTAAATGATTATGAAGATTCCTGACTTTTTGTGATACGTTGATACGCATCACCCCCGATAATGCGGTTTAAATTTGTGTTTGCTCCTCACGCAAACATTTGCAAGATCTTTTAGTACCGTATCCTCCCACCTAATGAGAAAAAAAGTGAAAAAACCCCTTCACGTTCCCAAAGTTCACGTTATTTAAGCCCACGAAAGCCAAATAATATCAATGTTTTACAACGATCCGGATCTGACTCGTTTATGTAACGTTTTTCAGAAAATTCCAAATATGTAATATTGAAGAGAAAGCCTAAATTACCAAATAAACTCATTTAATTAATGACGATCATTTTAATTCTATTTTCATTTAATTGCGAATATCATTCTCCGAATTGGGTAATAAAAAGCACTATTGACTATTAAATGGTAAAATTAAATTAAAATCATATTTTATTTTATTTCTCTATGTCACCAACGAAAGGTAAACTAAAACTATAACAAACAACGCTGAGCTGCATCATCAGGAATGTTCCAATTTAAAAATAAATAGAAACTTTAACTCAAATCAATAGGGCTAATAATTAATTAATTCATTATTCTGGAAGCATCAGTTCTCTATCTGCTATTATATCGAAATGAAATTCTATTAAATACCGAAGCACGAAACACAAAGTCAAATTTTTAAACATTTTAATTTCATGTCATGTCCTGCCATGTACTACTTCCCATTACTGATCCTAGTACATTTAATGTGATTAAAATTCTACTCTTTTTCGGTTGTCATTATCAGACCCACTAATTTGCTACGGGTTAAAATGTTTATTAGGAAAGCTAATTAAACCTATTAGACATTCAAAGTTAATTTTATAATTTTTATCAACAGTTTAATTAATATATAATTCACTCTTACAAACGAGGTCGTCACGTCATCTTTTATCAGTTTCATCTTATTCTTCTCAAACAGTAAAAATACAGAATATGAAAGCCAGTCACTTGAACTCCCTCTTTTGTCGAAAGCAAAAGCTGGTTTGTTCTGCCGGCAGTCATTAGAGGGCGATATTGAAAAGCTCAGTTTCAGAGCTGTCCTGCTGAGAGCGGCTTAATTTCAGCTTCCCGTCAATACGAATTTTGATGCTGACGATTTCATGAATTGAAATGAGCCTTTCTTTGCATGCAGACCTAAAACGACGATGTTTAATTTTCCAAAACCGAAGCGATGATATTTACATAATGTGAACATCGCTTTAATTATTCAAACCAGATAATTCTGCTTTGAAGCAAAAGGAAAGGTGACGAGAATAGCTTCATTGTAATTGTAATCTTAATTGCTTACAAGTTTATCAACGGGGAAGTGCTTTGAACATTATATTTTGCTCAGGAAATATTTAGCGAAATATAAACACGTTCCGAGGGACGAGTCAATACATTTTCTTTTAATGAAGACTACCAATTATTAGTCTCGAATTACTTTAGAGTCAAAATCTATACACAATGTCAATTTCTGAGATAAAATTGTGAGAACAATAAGACAATCTCTTGTTTTTGTACCACAAACAGTTTGCTTTGCCTTTGTAAATCTGGCTTCTATTGGCTTTCCACCGGAGCTTTACATTAAACGTACAGTTTGGGTGTTTCAGTTGTTTCGTATGCATCGCAACGTTATTTTCGCCGATAAATCGAACGAATTAATCGTAGAAATAAATATTTTGATAATTATACAAAATTATAGCAACTGCGTATCAAAATAGGGTGCTTTCGATGTTAAAACGTATACGAACCGCGAATAAATGCCGTTCCTACATTCTTAAACAAATAAGTGTCTTAAATGTTAAATGTTTATAATAAGTGTGCTTATTGTTGGTATTATACCGCTATGTTTAGATTTGTAGAAATGTCTGAGTATTTTTTGTAACCGTATTTACAAATGTAAAGTGTTAATCAAAGCAATATTAGCGTTAATAAATTATATTTTTATACAAAATTGATGTGACGCACAATTTTTTAACGACAATAACGCAATGACTGTCGAAAATAAACCTAAACCAGATGAAAAACCACCCAAGAGTAATTCTAAAGGCTCTAACCGAGTTAAAATCGCCGCCCCGTACGCCTATGTCGAGGTAAAATTCATCTCGAATCAATCAATTTTTTAAAGGCAAATATTTTGATTATTTTATCATTTCAGGAGCTGGTTGTCAGTTCCCCCAACGAAAGGAACTGGAGAGGCATCTTCATAGCCCTTCTAGTGATAGTCGCCGTTCTCGGCCTAATTGTTTTCAGTATTGTGTTGGTCTCACCGCCAGAAGAAGGGCCTAGGACTAAAGGCAACAAACCTTCCTTAGAAGATATCTTCATCAAGCTTCCACCCCCGGCCAGGTTCAACGGGACCTGGCTTACAGGTAAATGTCCTAAATGTAACGAAGGTGCTTGTCAAATATTAAGCAGGTGCGTGTGTTCGTTGAACCGCAATATCCGAACACTTTACCGCATCGTTTACCCCGATAACGCACTTTTCTATCGTCGTCTAGTAGCAATTTTACTAATAGAGACAGACACTCAAGGATTAATGATCATTAATTTCCCTGGAGATTGGCCTTGCTCTTTAGCTCTGTGCATAGTTTTCTTTTCGGTGCTATCTACCATTAATAATATTTTTTGAAGAGAAAAAACACATATTTATCATTCTTCTTATTTTTGTGTTCAAAGATTGATGGTGTAAATACCTTCATACAGTTTCTGGTTACCGTAGTAACGTTATCGATTACTTATAGAAACGTTTCGCCTGGGAATCTTCATGGTTTTTCTCTTTCTTATATTTATAAGATAAAATTATGGTCTTGGTACATTCCAAAACTCAAAGTTTTACATTCGTTAAAATGTGGTTAATTCAAATCCTATCGTGGGGATTTGGTAACAAATCAGAACGCTTTGTTGAGTAAATTAGGTTAACAAGAATTATTATACACAAAAATTGCTTCTAAATTCTCACTGAAATCCAATGAGAAGCTAGGGAGTTTCAGATTCATTTATTACAGATATTTTTAGTTGTGCTTCCGCAATTTACTTATAAACTGTATAAATTTTTCATAAACAACACCTATGAATGAAATTAGTGTATGACCTAGATATCTCAATTCTCAATTATAATTTTAATCAGTCCTGAAACACAATTAAAATGCTACAAAAAACAAAAATTTAAGGACTTATTAACTTTATTAACCCTCAACAAATGACAAATTTAAAAACTGTACCTCAATTTATATTTACTTACCAAGAATATTATACTCGTAGGTAATAAGTAATATTACGTTTGTAGGTGGAATATTTTATTTTTTCTGTTTGCTTATGGAAGTTTACTTTTCCTATAATGAACAAACAGTTTTCGGTTTGAGAAAAAAGATGATTAAAAAACTGAAGTTCATTACCTTTTATTTTATAATTTATTGTATTCTCTTCCTGCTACATTTTTACAAAGATTTATGGTGGCAGAGGATATTGCCCAAGTCTCTCCCCAAAACAAAGGAAAACAACTCAAGTAGTACCGTTCCTGATTAGATTAAAATATTTTAATTAAATGCGAATGCATTTAAAAACAATATTTTGTATTTATTATGCATATATCTAAAACAATATTTTGTTGAAGAAAAACTTAAATTTCATAGTGAGCTTTTTTTAACAAAAATAAATAAATAGAATAGAATTTAATTTTAAGTTAAGTCAATACTAAACCTATTGGGCATACTTTCTTTTGTTTTTTTTTTTTCATCCACTCCAAGAAAAAGTCAGAAATTTTGCACTTTTCTGAAGTTTTTCATATGACTGCAAATATTTATGTATGGTGAAGAATTGTTGAGGTTTTTTCTATTTTTTTTTGTTTCAACAACTAACAAGTAGCTTTTTTCATCTTTGATTTGTCTTATTATCTGGAGTTTGATTATCTTCTGGGTGGGTACCTAATGATTGTTAATGGGCAAAATATTAATATAAAAACTACGTAAGTATAGAAAAGTTTTAATTTTATTTTATTATTTATGGAAAATGGCATTTTTACCATGTTTTAATTCAATGTAAGCTTATTATTATTTACCTTTGCCTCTTTTATTTAAATCTCTTGTCAAATTTGTCTCTAATTTAAATTTAAAATAATTTCATGAGTTGGTAATAGAGATACACAGTACATAAACAGAAGAAATAACATTTCGAGCATCTTGAATAATAAAATGTGTTTTTATACAAACGACTATATGCTAATTTTATGCTTATCATAGGGTAAATACGTGTACTGTTTTAATTTTAATAAATAAAAATTTAATAAAAGAAGAAAGCTATTTTTATGACCGCTCATAAATCATAAACCTGAATAGTTAACTTATACCCTGAAGCAAAGTTCGTTCTGATAAAGCCCATTTTTAGATGTTTTGATCAGAGCTGAAATTTAGTCAATAAGAAACTTTCCTGCATGAAAACAACTTGGCCAATTTCCTGAAACTCTGCATAATCATAAAATTGACGTACCTATCTGAATTATACCGCTTGGGGAAATGAAATTAATTGAGTATTTTTTCCAGAATCCGAGTTTGTCTACAAAGATGAACACGGGGGAGTCACATTATACAACGCCGAGAACTTAACCACCAGAATAATAATGACAAATTCTACTTTTGTAGGTTTTACAATATAGACACGAAATCGTGTTAAAATATAAATGTTTTTAGAGACAATATGATGCAGTCGATTTCAGGATTTCGAGCGATTTGAGGTTTGTCCTCCTCATATGTGAAGTCACAAAAATTTACAAGTACACCACATTGGCGAAATATCACATTTATGAAATTCAGACAAGGATACGAAAACCTTTATCTCCGAGAGAACTAGACGATAAAGCTCCATTTTTGCAATACGCCGCGTGGTCTCCCGATGGCACAGGCGTAGTTTTTGTCCATGATAATGACATTTATTACAAGCCAAAAGTCGAAAAAGACCTAGTTTGTAGAATAACCAACACCGGAAAACCCAACCTTGTGTATAATGGAGTTCCAGATTGGCTGTACGAAAATGAAATACTCAAAACTTCTCACACTGTGTGGTTCTCGCCGAATAGCTTATATCTTCTCTATATTACATTCAACGACACTCAAGTGGGAGAGTACAAATACCCTTGGTACGACAGTGGCAACCCCAAAGTCACTTATCCAAAAATAAAATCGTTTAGGTTTCCCACGGTAAGATTGAAACTTTTTCAATTATCAAAATATAAAGCTGCTTTGTTAGGTGGAAACCCCAAATCCTGAAGTAACCGTCTGGATGGTCAATTTAACTAGACCAAAGTATCTGTTCCCCGTGGAGCTAAAGCCAACAAACAGTGTTGAAATTGGAAGTTATATAACTAGTGCTAGTTTCCTTGGGGAACAGAATGTTGCTATAATTTGGTTAAACAGACATCAGAACGTTTCGGTCATATTAACATGCAAACCCCAGAACAATTACAACTGCAGTGATGTAAGTCAAGAGTGACTAATGGTTGCTTTGATGTTGGAAGCTTTTTTCAGTTTCACATTGAAAGAGAACACATCGGTTGGTCTGAGCGAATTTTTCACCCGGTTTTCTCCCATAATGGAAATCAAGCTTTAGTAAGACTTCCCGTGAAAGACGGCGATAATGGCCATTATATGCACGCTTGTTTACTTTTCAACAACAACGTGATCCCCTTGACACACGGTGCTTTTGAATTAAGTCGTATCCTCGCGTGGGACGAACAAAAAAACCTAATGTAAGACTTGATTTTATGATTCGAGACTTGTGTGGCTGATCTCATTCTAGATATGCTTTGGCGACAAATGAGAACGCCCCTGGAGTTCGTCACTTGTTCAAAATAGGCGATACGAATTCCTCACAACAATGGACTTGCATGACTTGTCAACCTCGAATCGATCCCAATATGACTTACGTCTACTTTCAAGACTACATGAACGAGACGATGATTAATAATAGCTTACTTGTAAATTATGCGTGCGACTTCAACAACATCATTTTCAGCAAAAATTATAAATATTACATTCAAGAATGTCTGGGACCAAACATTCCTGTAGTTTTTCTAGTAGAAACTGCCACAAATACAAGACTTGCAGTTTTAGACGCTGGCGTGAAGCTCAAACGAAAAGTCAAAAATCTTTCAGCGCCTCAAATCAAAACGATACAAGTAGAAATAGAAGACGGGTATAGGGCTCAAGTCAGGTTGTATTTACCGCCGATTTTACGAGAGTACGAAGAAGTGACTTTTCCGCTTATTCTTTTGGTGTAAGCTCCTTAACACAGTTGGTACCAAAACCACATTGTATTATTCCAGTGACGCTTCACCTTCCTCTCAAACGGTTTCACAACAATGGGAGTTGTCCTGGCCATGGTATCTCGCCAGTACTCGAAACTACATTGCTGCAAAAATCGATGCAAGAGGGTCAGGGTTTCAGGGAGTAAGAATGAGGAGAGAAATTCAACATAAGATCGGTTCCGTTGAAGTTCAAGACCAATTGGCAGTTCTGACTTATCTGAGAGACACCTTCAAATTCATTGATAGAACAAAAATTTGTACTGTTGGAAGAGGTTATGGCGGATATGTCGCGACAATGATGCTACTCGAAGATTTTTATCAAGTTATCAACTGTTCTGTCAGTATTTCACCCATAACCAACTGGAAATATCACAGTAGGGTTGTTTTTTTATTACTTTGGATCTTGTGACTATGTTTATTTTTTTAGATTCATATTTCACAGAAAAATATTTTGGAATTCCAACCAAACATCTCCACGATTACGAAAATGCAGATTTAACTATGAGAGCCGGTAATTTAAACGAACGTCGATTTTTGCTCATTCATGGGTCTGCGGACACTTCGGTAACGCCACAACATGCGTTGCTGTTTGCTAGGGCTTTAATACAACAAGAAGTGTTGTTCCAGCAGCTGGTATTACTAACATTTTGGTTTTGGTACATTTTTTATTTATAAATTTCAGGTGTATCCCGATGAAGGTCACGAGTTCTCCAAAAAATCTCTCATCCATATGTACAAAGAAATCGATCAATTTTTTAATGATTCTTTCGGACCCATCATCGATGATTGGAACGATGATTCAAGTTTTTTTATACAATAAATTGTTATATACAGCTCCTTATTGTTATACAGAAAAAATTAGCAAACTACCCTTTGGATCATACACATTTTTATACAAAGAATCTCAAAATTTGGGTGCTTCAAGCTTAAAAAACGTCCATCTTCCCCGTATTGGAATATGAAATTTTGTATTTTTAGGTATACCCTGTTTGTAATATGTTTATCGAGTTATTTTACGTCGTCAAATATACATAATAACGTAACTGATGTTTGCCGCATTCCAATTTTTTACAATATTATAAATGTATATATGTGCCTAACCTTATAGCTTTATCGTTAATCGTTAAAGTGAGTATAACATATTATATTTTTTGTTGCTGAACATATGTAACTATATCATAATCATTGTTATAATAATAATGTTATATTTGTACAATATGTACTGAATTCAATGTGACACCAAAGCCAAATAAATGTTAACTTTATTCATAAAATCACTTTACATTTTAAACTTCCCGCGCAAATTAATACTTGTTTTAAATTACTTTTAACATCTTAAAAATGTTATAATACATATTATTTAATTAAAAAATTATAGGTAAGGTACGCATTTCTTTCTTTTTTTGCAAAATGTAGGTATATACCAAGGATGGTAGACGTAAAGGATTGCTCAGGCTCACGAATCTGTCAGCCGGCGTCACGTGGTCCATATACATGCTGTGACGTCACAACTGGCCTTTAATCGCGTCAAATACATGGGAGTTAATAGGAGCAAATACCAAATAATGCAAATAAAAGTGAATTATGACTTTAATTTGTTAAAATCGCTTTTGAATTTATAATGAAATTATTGTAGTTATAATTTGAGGTAATACAAAATAGAATTTTCTGTTTATTTGTGTCCAAAAATTGAGTAAATATGTTTTCTAATCGGGGTAATCAGACGCAATAATTCCAATAATTCATTGTTCTGTATTTTAATGATATATAAGACATTCAGAATAGGAACAAATTTTTTTACTTTTTATATTGACGGGTATTCTTTACGTTTTAAAATGCTCAAACAAAAATGATTTAATAAATAAATTGCCATTAAAATTTTTTGGTCACAAAGTCATGAAAATATCAATAATATTCCTAGGTATACATACAAAATAGAAACGTTTTTTTTTAACAATTTTATATGCAATAAATTTGATTGATAAATAATAATACAAAATCTAATAATGGATAATAGGTAAAAAAATGTAAAACAAAATAAACCATTTTTATAATAATGTAATGACTTTAAAGAAGAAAGAAATGAGCAAAACGACTTTCAACACAATATAAATTTTATTTCTTCAAATAAAAACATTTGGTAGCTAGACTAAACTTGAATTTTGAAACCAGTGTAGGTACAATCAAAATTCAGTGAAATGATATCCCAAAAATTAAACAAAGATTAAATTAATAATATTTGTTTTCTCTATTTGTCCACATGACTTAGAGATTATAAAAATAATACAATAGTAAAAAAATAATTTTGTAATTCTAAAATTATTGAAAAATAAAGAAATCACATAAATTAAAAATCAATTAACAATTTTATAACACCCCACGTTTATAATTTTAATACAAACAATACAGAATTTCTGGGGGTTACAAGATCAAAAATATGCTTGGGAAATAGCTGTATGACAATAAAATAGCTTACTCTAGCCTAAAACAAAAATGAATGCATTATACCAATTTGTTTCTTAGATCACGTTGATAATCATTGTTTGTGAAATGGAGCAAATTGAGCTACGAATCGAGTTGAACTTGTCAGCTCGTCTGCACCTGTTGACCCATTCCTTTCTCATCGTTGATGAGACCATATTGTTGCCGATAGAAAAACATAAAAAATGAGATTGTCACCCATTTGTTTTGGTTTTATTTGGCTGCTGTTACAACCATATACAGCATACCATCTACCAGGCATATAGTGACCACCTATTTAAATTTATTGGAATTACTTTAAATATACTAAAATTTGCATTATTTCGTACTACTATTTTCTTTTGTACGATCTTAATATGCTCTAATATCATTAAAACACCAAAAAACACGAAGCAGAGCTGATGTAAACAAACAATGTGGGCCAGTTGTGACGTCACGCAATGTGGTGGGGATGATGAAATACGGTTAACATTGCAGCATAGGGCCTGAGCAATCCTCTATGTCTACCATCCTTGGGTATATACAGGTTAGTCAGCAGAGGGTTATTTCTGAATTTGTTTTTGCCGCAACCCATTATACATATTGCAACAATTTCTTGGTTTCAAATTTTGAAAATAATTATAACTAAATCCACGATAGCTATTACTAGTCTTGTCTCTTTGACATTAAAGCAAAAAAATCATCTCTCAAACAATACGACATGTTTTGTCATCGTTTACCAACGTACTAGGCGCATGTTTAGAAGTCGATGGTACATACATAAACTTCAAACACCTTTTACATTAACTGAACTTGTTAATTTATTTGTTGAATTAAATATAGGTTATCTGTCAATCTGACATTTCTGGCAAATCTATCCAACTTACTTTGATTTGTAATTTAAAAGAAATAACATATTTAATTTAGCTGTTAGTGATATTAGTATTGTTGGTTGCGGCAAAAAAATTCAGAAATAACCCTCCCGTGAATAATCCTGTATAGTATTATAAAAAGCGCAAAGAGCAACTTTGGTCAAAACACTCAAAACATGTTGCGCGTGAATTTGAATATATCAGAATAACAAATTCTTTTACTTTAAATGATAATCATAAAAGACGAATTATGCAAAAACAGCGATTTTTATATGTTCTATAATAAGACATTACTTAGTTACTAGTTATTACCTAATATATTAAATAGAATTATCTACAAAAAGTGTTTAAACAGGCAAAAACTTTTTAGAGATTTAAATTTATTACTTATTATTATTGTTATTATTGTTAATGATAAAAGTAATCCCACATTCAAGTGCAACGTTGACGTTTTCGAAAAAAAGATAAATGGTATAAAGTGGAAGGTAAAGAAGAATTTCTTCAAATTACCTGTGCTAGCGTTGCCAACTTAAAAATCATCTGATTCTCCATTCACCTTGACAAAATAACTAAAATATTCAATATGGCTTCTTGACAGTGACGTTTGTGTTTACATAATTGCGTGTATTCGTAATAATAAAACTGTGTCTAAAAACCCGAGAAAATCGAATCAAACAATATCCTCCTTGTAATAAAATAGAAGTGCATTAATGACACCAATTGTTGCAATCTCTTATCAGATGATAATTATTATCGAAGGGCAATCTGAGATAAAATATTGTGAAAAATGTTTTTCAGTGTAAGTTTGAATTAAATATCCATAGTAAAAAAAGCTATTCCTCATGTCCTACAAAGTGTTTGGATAGTGATTGCCGTACATAACACAGTATTGTAAGTACCAATTTATTTTTTCCCTGTTACTACAATGACAGCTGACATTTTAATAGAAAGTACACTTTTGGTTTAGATCCGTTTTTGCGACCTAAATTCCACAGACAGAGATAATGCTTTATTATCATACAGCCAAATTTATCTCTTTATGAATACAGGGACCATCGCGGCCTTACAGACCCATTTTCCTGTTACCATATTGGACTCAGACAAACATTAAACACCTATCACTTTCTCAGACGACGACGTCGCTTTTATTTGCATTGAGCACATTCAGATCAGTAGACTCCTGAACCTATATGGAGAAAAACCAAAATTTCAATTATCTGTGAGTGAAAGTTACGGCAATTCGTGGCATTTCATTAGATTCAAACAATCCCAAATTTATTCATATAACACTGAACTTCATCATCCAGGAAGTACAAACCTTTCGGCAGCTGTGCTAAATTAGAAATTGAATTTATTTTATTATTGGGCAAATATGAAATCTCCAAGGGCATTTGCAAATTCAGGCCTACCACTTGTCTTTGAAATCTTCACATTCACAAGGTTGCAAATGTTTAAACGGAAAAATCTAACAAGAAAATTATTTACACGTTGTTATTCGATAGCTTTCACGAAAACAAACGCGGAAAATGAACTTTTATATTACACTTTCCTTGACCTTATTTTCATGTAAAACAGATGTACCACGTTATAAAAAAAACGCAAGTTGGTCATGTTAAATAAAACTAAATTCACACGATCGTAATATCCTGTTGCTAATCTCTCATTGGCTTGAAATTTGTTTCATAAATTTATTTTAGCAATAAAATTAACGCAAAGTAATAAAATGGAAATCGTATCAGATTAGTTGTTTCATCAGTAAAAACGAGAATTCCCCTTGATGGTTAAAAACATATTTCACCCTGGTTAACTACTGATTTGTTTAAATAAAAAAATGAGTTCTTTTATTATCCCAACAATTTTTTTTTTAAATTATTAACGAAAATGCTGTCATTATTTAATAGTTTACCGATTCGAGGAAAATTGATTAGAATTTTATCAATGTTATCAGCATTCTATTATTCAGCGTCATTAGAATTTTCGAAATTCAGCTTTAGTAAAAATAGCTGGTTACGTGGTGGTGTGAACTGAGTTGAAACGTGTTTGTTTTTTCCGTAGATGATGTTGCCCATACTGGTATCGCCATGGGAACACCAGGCGATAAGGCGAAAATCGGAAAGGTAGTACAAGGAAGCCAGCTGGATCCCGATCAAGAAACCGTTTCTCCCACAACAACAGCAGCAGCCACTGCGTCAACATCGACAGCAACCACTGAAAGTTCTGTAATCCCTCAACTGCCACAGCCAAGCACTTCAGCAACAATGGGGATGATCAGTAGATTACCGCAATTTGAGACGTTTGCTGCCATCAATATCCATCCGTCACTGTCCCAAACAGCAGGAAAACCGGAAACCTTCCAACCGACCATGGGGGCGCTAGGTCAAGCTCACATGGAAGACTATTTCACTCAGACAAAGCATTACCCAAGCGTTTCAGAAAACTTGCAAACATTATATCATCCGGTCATGACACCGAAACCGAAAACATTCCTCAGCTTAGACGAACCGGGACCCTCAGGATTGCAGACCCAAAAAACTAAAACAAAACTGAGCGTGAAAAGGACAAAGAAATCGTCGCAGATCCAGAAAAAGGGCCATTCATGTCCCGTTTGTCAGAAAAATTTCGCAACCATTGATAAGTTGACAAAACATCAACAGATCCATTCAGGGACGTCGCCGTTCAAATGCGAACATTGCAAGAAATCGTTTAGTTCAAAATTTAAATTAGTTAGACACGTTTTAATTCATTCAGATCGGAAACCGTTTAGTTGTACAGTTTGTGAACGGACTTTTCACAGAAAGGATCATCTGAAAAACCACATAAAAGTTCACAGTCCCAGTAAAAAAGTTTATATTTGTGAAAAAGCCGATTGCAAAAAAGAGTACACTTCGTTGATGAGCTACCGAAAACATCTAGCTCTCCACGCGGCAGAAGAAGGCAGCTTGCAGTGTCAGATATGTTCTAGTGTTTTTTCAACGAAAGACGAGATTCTCTACCATTTGAAAATCCACGCCGGGAGTCGAACCGTAAAGAATCCGAACGAAAAGAAATTTACTTGCGAGCACTGTGACCGTAAATTTTTCACGAAAAAGGACGTCAGACGACACCTAGTTGTGCACACAGGCATGCGCGATTTTTTATGCCAATTTTGTCCGCAAAGGTTTGGCCGAAAGGATCATCTAGTTAGACACATTAAAAAGTCACATTCGAAAAATGTACCACCGGAAGACTTCGAAACTGCCATTAAAAGTGAGATTCCAGAAACGATCGTCAAACCAGAATTAGTGATTAAAACCGACCCGGAGATTAAAACCGAATTTTTCGAAAGCAGTCTTTCAAATCCCGAACAAATCGATTTATCGTTTGAAGATGTCAGTAGTATATTGCAAGAGGATACGTTTGATCCTTTAACGCGGTTTTTAGAACCGGATACAGAGGGAAATTTAACGTTTTTGCCCTCGCCGCAGTCACAGGAAGAATTAAAAGACTTGGGAAGCACGATTTTAGAGGAAATTGGGGAACCTTCGATGATAGTAGAGAGTTTAACTGACCCTGACGAGGAAATACTAGGTCAAAGTGTTTTAAATAATCCTGAATTACAAAGACTGTTAGAACCGTCAGAAGATAAAAATTTACCTCTACCAGGGTTTAGTCAAACTTTTCAACCTCCTCCTCCACCTCCTTCATAATATCTTTCTACAAGATATGCATACCATAATTGTGTTCGTAAAATAGGTGGCACACTGCTAAATTATTATTGTCGTATGGTATGTTAAGTTACCAACTGAAATTATAATCTTGTTTAAATGGCAATATTTTCACCAGTTCAAAAAAGTTACCAGGAATACGTAATAACCAGACATTATTCAACCATGTATTGTTCTAGTCTTGCTAAAAATGTTTTTCGTCTTTTTTATTCAATTAGGCAGCTTGTTAATGTGTTAATATTGCCAAAAATATTAGTAACGTTATTGAGATTTTTCACATTTTGTAATGATACAAAAATAATGTTATAGATATCTATTTTATTTGCTAAATTAATTTATGTTTGTTTCGACAATTGCACAACTGTATATTTGATTTTTACTCAAAATTATTTAATTTGGTTACAATAGAGTTTCACATAATCGGTTGAATAGAAAAGGAGTACTTACGCGAGACGAGATAATTGAAAGATTGTATGCTGTGTGCAATTGTTTTAACGATATTAGGCATAATTTTGATCTGAGAGACACTTAAAATATGTTGTTGTAAATTTATATTTATTTGTTAAATTGTTTCCAAAGTTATTTATCACTGGTGCTAAAATCCATCTGAAAACAATTGACAATTATTGTATATTATTGTTATGCTATGAAAAATATTAGATATTTTCTATTGTTAAATTTTTACCAATCAAGCATATCTGTAAAAAGTACTTTCACCACTTAACATGATCAAGTACAAAATTGGAAATTTCATTGACTCGTGGCTAAATTAAATTTAATTTATTATGAAACAGGTGTGATATCCAACATAGCCAAAAGTCAATGACACACTAATTCTTTCAGTTTACATTTTCCGATACTAATGAAATAATCTACCTCATTTTGCAACAATTCATTGCTGTACAATCAGCTAGTCATAGTTGTAAGTCTATCTGTATGATGTTAAAAAATAGTTTTTTATACATACTGTATATTATAAAAATAATATATTTTACCAGTGTATATAATTATTCATATGAGTCTATTTTAAAATATGTACATTTTATTTTTATACATGAAATTATAGTATTATTTATATATTCACATTTGGCTTTATTTTAAAAACATAAAATTATCCTTTTTTGTGTTGAAAATGGTACCCACTATTTTAATAAAGGCGCGCAATTTTTAACATTTAGTGCTTTTTTATCTAGTGCATTGGTAGCAAAAATTGACTGTCAAAAAGTAATTTTGGGGTTATGTTAATGTAAACAAAAATTATTAAATCGGCTCGTAATGTAATTTGAGCCTGTTTGTATAAAAAATCAACATCGTCTAACTTTTTTTTAATAAAGTTCCTACGATGGGTTTATTAACAGATCCCAGTGCCGGTCAAGGGAAACTAACTAAAGCCCTCCTTAAATATTACACAAAATTATGTGTCTTGCTATACATAGGCGGAATTGGTTGGTTTTGTTCCCTTGCATATACCCCCATGAACGCTGGGACATATTTTTCCGAAAATGCCCTTTTACCAGGACTTGTCAAATCAGAGTTTAGAGAAGATGCAATCGCAAAAACTTACCACGCCGAACTTTTGGACGAAATGAAGAAATATGAAGATTCCATTCCTTATCCGTGGCTTTTAGCAAAAATGAGACAAATTGGTTTGGATACTTACACTCACAACTTCACACTGAATTATCCTTTAGGAAAACCCCAAGTAAGTATCTATGAACAAAACTAGACAGTTACATGTTTCGTGTTTTTTTTTTTCAGAAATTTTTTGGTAAAAACGTTTATGGTATTTTACGAGCAGCAAGAGCTTCCAGCACTGAAGCATTAGTTTTAAGTGTGCCATATAGACCCCCTTTGAGCGTCCACGCTACTACCGCACCTTCTATTGCTATAATGTTGGCATTTGCTAAGTTTGCAAACAGTATGTCTTTTTTGTTGTATATGCGTTTGTTTTTGAGATTATTCCTTCCAGAGGAAAAATATTGGGCAAAAGATATCATATTTTTAATTACTGAGCATGAGCAGTTAGGAATTCAAGCTTGGTTAGAAGCCTACCATGGAGTGGCATGTGGCAATGAGGGTACTTTAGATCATGGTGATATTAAGGGACGAGCAGGTGCCATACAAGCTGCTATTAATTTAGAATTACACGAACCAGCAATTAGTCAAGTGGATATTAAAATTGAAGGTCTCAATGGCCAATTACCTAACTTGGATTTATTTAATTTAGCCGCTAAAATGCTACTGAAAGAGGGAGTGCCTCATACTTTTAAGAGTCGTCCAAATAAACACTTAAAGGATCCCATAAACGATTGGCTTTATTCATTCCAGACTTTGTTGGCAATGATTTCAACTCAGGCTACAGGGGTGCTTGAAACTCGCTTATTGTATGAAGAAATTTTAAGTTTTTTGTAGATACCAAACGGAAATCATGGTCTTTATCACCGCTTTGGTATAGAAGCTCTTACTCTTGAGAGCACACCCTTAAAAGGGGGTAATAAAGCAGGATTTCCAATTGTGGGGCGAATTATTGAAGGGATATTTCGCAGCTTGAACAATTTGCTAGAGCGTTTTCACCAAAGTTTTTTCTTCTATCTCTTACCTTCATCAGAAAGATTTATTTCAATTGGTAAATATATTTTTTGTAATTCATATACATTTATAGAAAATAAACGAATTTTAGGGTTATACATGCCTGCTATTTGTTTGATTGCGGGGGCACTCTTCATAAAATCATGCGCCAATTGGTGCCAACTTCAGGAAAATCAAGCAGAAACGGAAGATGAGAAGCCAAAGACCCCTGAGACGAAAAAAGAAGTAAAGAGCAGCTCAATAGCGCGCAATTCAAAAAACTTTTGGAGAGAAATGGAAGGGCGATTCCAAGTAGAAGTTCAAACTTACAACCCCCCAGATCCAGATTCTATTAATTTTATCTCAATTCTGTGTGTGTTTCTAATGTCTCACGTCGTGGGGGTATTGATTATGAATAGTCCTCAATTACTTACGACTCTAGGTGGTCAGAATAATTACTCAACTGACTCGTCGTTGTTTTACGGGTTTATAGCAATATCTGCGATGTTACTAACCGTGCCGCTTTTTATCCCTTTTAAAGCTTGCGAGAAGAGTATGTCTGTGTTTAATATTTTATCACTATTGGAATTAGGTACAACTTTAATTTGCGTTTCCATGAATAATTTTTCTCTGGCATTATTTTGCGCCATTATTTATGTACCTTTAGCACTAATTATCGGGATTACGCGTTGTCGACTATGTTCTGCCATTAAAAAAATTGTGTGGTTGCTGGCGCATCCTCTAGTCGTACTTACCGCCACTGTGTTAATATACACATTTGTAATGTTTCCTGGTGAAAAATTTGAAGACAATTTTCATAGGGGTATAGCGGCGACTCAACAGGCAATCGTTTTCAGTATAGTGGATTCTATGATTTATGGAAATTGGCTCTTTAGTGTCGTTACTAGTGTCTTTATTTCCAACTGGTTGTGTTTCTGGATCGTTGCGTTTGCGAAAGTTCAGCAGGACATTCCAAAGAAGAAAATCGATTAAATGTACTTTCTTTTTTAAATAAAGTGTTGGTTTTTTAATCACTTGTTTGAGATTTACACTCCATTAAACCTTTCAACCGTTTTATTAAGTTCTGAGTAAAAAATTGTGAAGCAATTTTATAAAAGGTTGAACCTTGACACATTTCATTTGCAGCAAATGAACGAATTCGGCTGTTTAAGATTAATTTTTCTGCTTTCACCGGCAGTAATAGTGAGGAGCTATTTTAACATATTATCTAATCGAACTTTATTTCCTGTTAGGTAAATAAGAAAAAAAGAAATTTCTTTTGAAGAGAGAAAAACAGTTCGTCGTTATTAATTTTTTGTTTTAAATTCAAATGGTGCAATATGTTACAATTATTATCTGTAAAACGTTTTAAATCGTAATTGTTTTGAAAACAAAAAGTTGAAAAAAATATACGAGTTAACGATTTTAACAAAATTATTTTTGGAGTTGCTATTTAACAATCTAGAAAAAGCCTTCATGAAAATGTTTTGTTCACATTTTCGTCAAACTCATCTCTTATTAGGGGACTGTGATGCTATATTTATTTTACCACGTTTACCACATATAATCGGGTAATCACCAATAATGCTGAATACATATAATGTTTATTCAAACATATTTGCTTTAAGGGATTAATTTGCAATGCAAATAATAATTAAAAATGAAACACTGAATAAGAGTATTGTTATTAATATTGCATAACATTGTGGTTGTTTGTTTCTTCAATAACAAATTATTTATTATTATTATTTATATTCTATATGTACATAGGGTGTTCGGTTTTTATTGTTTCAAATTTAAAGAGGTGATAGAATCTTCAATTTTAAGACAAAAGTTTTTTATAAACATGTTTTGAAAAATCTTATGTAAGAGAGCTACACCACCTAAACGAAAAAGACCTTTTTTTATTAAAAAATTTGAAATTTAGAATTTTGTTGCTGAAAGTGTCAAGAAACGACAGATAAAATAGTTAGAATATTTTTACCCTAAACCCTCCCAGTTTAGAAAGCCTTGATAAAAAATTTCAACATTTTATCTTTGAATTCGTTTAGGTGCATAAAGATTATCAAGTTATCATCATAAAATGGTTTCGGAAATATTGGAAAAAACCGATTAAAAAACGCACTCTTTTGAGGATGTGTAGCTTTTTTGCGTAGCATTTTTCGATATATGTTTTTAGGAAACATTTGTCTTAAAATTGAATATTCTATTTCCTGTTCAAATTTGTAACAATAAAAATACACCCCTGTATAAATAGGCTTGTCCTGACTGACCTATCAACTCACAGTCTAAACCGCTAGATATGGAAATTGAAATTTTTGTCTCACTGAAATGAACAAAATTTTGTCGCCCTGTGTTATTTTAGTGGCTGAATTTAGTTACCATAAACTTTTTAATAATTTTATGAAACATAATGTTTAAATCTCATTGTTAAAATTATTATCATTTTATTAATATCGAATGAGCAAGCATAGTACAATTTACACTCATTTCGTCTACTTGGTCCACTCAATATTATTATGAAGCTTGGAACTCAGTGAGATAAAAGTAATACATACATATGTCAGAGTGTTATGGAAGTTGTAATACTAACACTAACACATCCGTTAAAATGTTATTTGTACTGCTAATTTTAACAGTTGGCTACTTCCGGATATGGCGAGTGTATTTATTTTGCATAGACTTATTATGTTGTAATGTAATTATTAATGTGTACATGTATTGATAATCTAAACCTACATCATGTTTATTAATACAGTAAGGATTTTTAAATATAATGCACATACATAAATTAATAGTATTATATTATTTTGCGGTTACAGCAAATTGGAATACGTGCGAATGTTAGTTGTGTGTAATATCGACCAGAATGAATTGATTAATTTGTGGGTAGGTTTATCCACATTCTTACTTAATTAATAAATTTATAAATGAACGTTTCATTATTATTGTAGAATAAAAAATTATGGATACTTTTTTACTTTTTGTTTTTTGTTTTGATGTTTGCTTCTATGAAATAGAATATACATAGAACGTTCTAACAAAATTGCGAAAAGCTTGAAATGATGAATAAAAATCTACCCGCTAATACCATTTTCCAATGACTTGTAAATTTTCTGGTTTAATTCAATTCGACTTCAAATGAGAAGTTGTTAAAATAAAAATGTGGCTTTTTTAACAAATTAAACTAAAATATTTTCAACGTAAAAGAATGTTGTTTAATCAAGATTTTTTTAGACTTACTTTAATAAATGAAAATGATTTTTACTAATGATAGAATTTATGCCAAAAATACCTTTAATGGAGTGAACTGCATTCGTTTTAATTATTTTAATCCGTTATTTCCATAATGAAAATTGGTACGTACGAGTTAGAATGATACAAATCCAGATAACGCAGATTGTTATTTGATTAGGTATCTACTCATAATATGGCGAACTGTCATAGCACATTTATTAATAATCCGATAAACATTGTAATATTATTTGATTGACTTTTTGACTTGATATTTTAATCCAGATTTAGTAAATCTAAAACCAGGTATCGTTTTGCACCTGAAAAATTAATATAATAATGTCAATGTATTTTCATGCACCATTATGAGTCTTTCAAATTGGGATAAATTAGCCAAGGAGTTGGCGCTTTTATTAAGATGGATTTTCCGTCTCATTAATTCGCCTAAATAGTTAATTTAAAAAAGATTTTTTTCATTTTTCCGACCGCTTCATTACACATCGAAGCCAACACCTTAAATATAATTAATAGCGCTTAAAGCTGGCGTTTTTCCTCTCAGTGCATTTAAAGAGCATCTAATTAGAATATAGTATTTTACTGAGAAAGATCATTTTAAGAGTACGGCTAAAACTAAATTGAGAATAATTACAACGCCCACTCGTGAAATGAAATAAAAAGCAGTCCAGGTTATTCGACGTGGAAAGGGGAGTTGTTTTTGTGCCATAAGTATCGATTCTTCTACTAAGAGATAAATCAGAATAGATAGAGAAAATTTTATTAGGCGATATATTTTAGGTGGATGCTGGACTGTTGTAAGTGCTCATCGTTAATCATAACACAATGTAAATAGAGGCGAGTGTAAATTATGTTTGGTTTTTGAGAACAGACGAGAAAATTAAAACTATTTTTCTTGAACGTCGTGCGAAATTATGGAGGTGAACAGTTCTCTTGTGCTGTGAATTATTAGAAATGCGCGGTGGTTCTCCAGCTGATTAGCTACATATTGATTCTGATCTGTGATGTATGGCCTTTGTTCCGGGAGGGATAGAAAGGGATACCGCGAGCTAATTCAAACGATGTAGAGCCTCATTAAAGAATTATTATCTGACAATTATCAGCAAATAATATGAGGCTCTGTTGTCGACGGAACAATCTGCATGCATACGTGAGCAGGTGCAAACATTACCTACATCACTAACAATAGTGATACTCATCATACGGAAGACAATGGGCTCTTATAACATAAAGACTAGACATCCAGTAGGTTGTAAGACATTTATAAACGGTCGGTCAAATTGCAATAACAACACGTGTAGGCATTTTACTCGTTAAAATTAGAAAAGCTGTTGAAGAAGAAAGGCGGAATGTGGAGTGCTTTGTGTCAAGAATGCGACATGTCCACTATTATAACAAAGTACACTCGCTTGTATCATAAAATGTGATTATAGCATTATTTTGCTTTGAGTTATTGCATTAAATTCGAGAAGAGTGGAGAAACAATGTCAGTCATTATTTATGCAAAGTCTTTTTCAGGTGATGATGTTCCAATTAGGATTTTTGAATTGGTAACAGTATGTTACATATATTTTTAACAGACTGAATTAAGATTACAGCAAATTAAATAATATTGGATTTTGCTAAAAGATTATTATAGAGGTAAAAAACTGTTCTTGTATCAATGTAAATTTATCGTGTTTGTCTTCAAACAAGAAAATTTTTCTAGAGGCAGTTGGAATGTAGAAAACTGTCAAAGCTGTGAACAGAAAAAGTTGAGTGGATCTGTAGCCGAGAAGGCGAAATGCAATAATCAAATCAAGTGAAGTAGAGACGGATAGAAGGAAGACTATGAGATACCTTAACGGTGTTCAGTTGAATTAATTTGTTTAAAAAAAGGATTGATTGGATGAAATTTGATTACCTATTTGTTGAAATAAATGTTATTAAATAGCTCAAGATTGTGCTTTTAGTAAATTACATAGTGGTGTCTGACCAATTTGTTGGAAAGACCCCACCTATTCGCTTTGGAGAAGCGTTATAATAGATAAATTCTTATTGCTAAGTTAACATTACCAAAATTACAAAGTTTACAAAATTTACAGAAAGACAGAAACGTAGGTATTTGTGTACAGATGCTACTACAAGAATGTATGCAAAATACTTGCTATAGGTATAGATTTTTCAATTTCGAACTCGAATTTCCTGATCGGATTTCATATTTTTTGTTTTGCAAATACCAATTTTATGTGCCGTTTTTTCTTTAGACTTTTAACAGTTATTGTTTTAGTTTTTGCATAACAATGTTGTTATGCACAGAATGTTCATGCTTTGAAGTACAAAAAAATTGGCAGTAACTGTGTGAAGTGTCTTGTTTATGACACTAAGATTAGTTTTGAAATACCTGAATTTAATGAACAATATTAATGCCAACCTAGGATCAAATATTTAATAACCATCATACGTCAAGTTATTAAATAACATAAATTGTTGCTGCATAGTTGATTTTTTTAATTGAAAATTATTGTAGCTGGGAAAAACAGTTGCGGTTAAGTTTCAAAATGTTATCAGAGAAACACTCAACAAACTAATTTAAATTTAACAAAGCAATTAGCGAGAAATAATTTCGGTTGGACGTGTACAGAAAATTCGCTTATATGCTCTTGTTGATAATGATTTTAATTTTTGTATTTAATAAAGTGTAATACCATGCTATTCAAAGCAAATCTTGTGTAAAGCAGGTATGTTTCAGTGTATCCAGTTTTTATTTGTTTCGGTTCGTCGAGATTTCTGCAACATATTG